GCGACTTCTCTTCCAGGCTTCCAGGTCCAGAAAGGAAGTGCCCGTATTCCCGCCAGCGCATCACCTCACGACTTTTCTAATCAGTCCTCACTTTGCCCGGGGCGCTGGATGGGGCCTCGGAAACTCTGCCCCCATCTCACGAACCTCGGCCGCCAGGGGCTCTTATTCATGACCGCCCAAGACTGTGCAACGTTTGAACTCTTGTCTGGTAAGGTAGCCACGAGGGGCAGAAACGGGCACCGCGCGTTGGATCATGGCGATCACATTTGCGAGGACAGAGACACCACACGCGCAAAGCGAGGGGCCAGGTTGACGTGAGAACACAAGCCCCTGAACGAGGCGGACGGAAGCAAGCGCCGCTTTGACTTTGCTTTCTGCTGGTTGACCTCATCCATTCGTCAGTTGTCGGTCTTGAATACTCCCTGTGTGTAGGCTTGGCCGTCCCAATTTTCAGCATCTGCTGTGCAGCAAACTATTCTTGCTCTTGGCTCTGGTTGGAGGGCAAGCGGGAAACGACGACGCGAGGAGATGGGACGAAAGTAGTAAAGATGACCATGTGCTGTAGCAGCGTCGTGTGTGGTCGGCGTCTGCAGGTCTGCTGCCGAGCGAGAGAAGAACATTGAACGAGCGCCATTTCAGACTGCTGCAGTCAGCCACCCACACAGAATCCCAGCCCGGCCCAGGGTGGTCGCAAAATTGCTTTGCTCATGCTGTCAGCCCTGCGTGGGATTGGCGGAGACGCAGGGGGAAGAAGCCGTCGAACGTGGGTACAAAGAGCCTCGGAGATGGCATTGGTGCGGTGATGAAGGAGGCTTAGGAAAGACAGTCTCAGTCGACGGCCACAAACCTGCATTGGAGGCTTCGGATTGATAGGACTGGTTGGAGAAAGCCAACTCGCGCCTGCGGTTGGCCGTTTAATTCGTCGTCTCTTCTTTTCAGGGGCTTCATTTCACTCGGAGATGCATTGAGTGACGGTTGTCGTACATTGACTTGCTGCCGGTCTGGACTTCGGAACTGAGAAAGGGGGCGCGCTTTCGGGCTGTACCAGTTACACGCAGGCCGAACGCGATGATGAATTGACGCAGGGCGCGTTGATCCACCGCCCTGAACCAGATAGTGTAAAGAGGGCAAAGTCAGATTAACAGAAGACGAGTGTTGAGTGCAACGACGACACCCACTCGCACAAAGTTTGATAGATAGCCGCGTAAGATGGCAACGGTGGTGCTGCAGTACCGCAGTAGAATGAGAGGGTAACACCCCAGTTGGGACGGAGCGGTGGCAGAGGAAAGGCGTCGTCGCGGCCGGCGGTCCATGTTCTGAAACAGGCTCTTGACTCGTCGATAGCTTCCCAAGAAGAAGTGACAGGCGGAGAATAAAAGGGTGCCGTCGGTAGCCTGTAGGGTGGAAATGGCACCATTTTTTGTTCCCGAAGGTACCGAGCGATGGGTAACATGCCGTTGGCCTCAAGGGAAGATGCTGGGAGAATCCGGGGAATACAGCGAGTCCTTGTTCAGATAAAGTTATCTGGTGTGTTTCATTGTCCAGGGAGCTGCCTCACTTTTTTTTAATATTGGCACAGCGAAAGAGTGGCCCAGTGGGCGATGCCCTGGGCAGGGATTGTCCTGTTGCCGCCAAGACGCGCATTTGCGTTTGAAAGTCGTTGATGATGGAGGGAATTGCTGCTGTTGTGTTGCTCTGCAAGGTACGGACGGGATGCGAGACGACGGCGAGGCGGGGAGGGAAAAGAGAGGACGAACCAGCAGTCCGAGTCTATCCGTACATTTTTGGGTTTCTCCCGCATTGATGGTCATGATGGTGTCGACCGTGTCGTAATTGCTGCGTCGTCGTGCGTCGTCCTGTCTGTGCCCCCGATGTCGCATGCCTGCGTGTTCGGCGTCCTTCTCGAAGCATATCGACGCAGGAGAGGGAGAACAGCAGCACCCATCGGCGTAAGGTTTACGGAGTTGTCCGTGGCGGTGGGACGCCGTAAATGCGGTCATGCCACTCATCCCAAGGGCGTTGCTGGTTTGACAGCTGGGGTTGGCGTTCGGTTTTCGTCGGACTCTGTTCCGTGGTTGGTCTTCACATGCAGTGCGGATTTTCTTTCCCTTATTGCGCGGTGTTGTTGGTAGTTCTAAGGGTTGTGTCAGTCAAATGAACGTCGCAATATCAGAAAGAGACGAAATATTTGGCGATGGGTACGTTGGAAAAGCTTCGATGGCGGGACCGGGCAAGTACCACTTTCCCTTTTTTTTTTTTTTTTTTTTTCGTCCCTTCACACCTTGGCTCCTTTGCCGCTGCCCCATTGCCCGGATACGAACAGGCAGCTGCGGCCGACAGCACAAGAGCCAAGACGACACCTCAAGAAAAATTTATTGGTGATTAAACCTTGTGAGCCTGATCTACAGCATCAAAATGAATTGGTAGATAAGAAGTCGGATTTGCGCGCATCTTCCCACCATCCCTTCGAGAAATTTCTTTTTGTGACATACACAATTCGCAGTTGTCGGGCTCCCTGCCGGGAGGCGCATCAAGCATTTTCTTCAGTTGATGTGATTTGATGGCTCGATTGCAGCTGGGTGGATGGGATCTGACTTGGCTCACGGGCGAAGACGGCAAAGACGGCAGCGGTTTACCAGCAGTCTGGACACGGACAAGACGAACAAGCATTCTCTTGCAGGTGGTTTTCCCTTTTCCCCAGCCCTATCGACGACATCCGACCACCGTACACCTCGCAGATGGCGATTTCAGGCGCGCTTTGAACCACTGAGACGCGGCCGACGCGCCCAGGGGAGATGCAACTGGCGGCGACGAGCTGCGGGCGGCGGACACGGAGGGGATTGAGCACTCTGTCCTACCAAACTCAAGGTGCCTTACCTAGTACAAAGTATTGACATGGAGGCAATAGTGAGCATTGTGTGCGGTGCAGCGGTGCTGATGGGTGCGGGCACTACGAAATGATGAGCATGTAAGGGTGGAGAGGTCCAATTAACGCTAATTGATTGATGAGCACCAAAGTGAGATCCCTCGAGGCGGGCCGTACTGTGCGGCTACTTTGGCAAATCGGACACTGCACGCAAGGTACAAGACCCTTGGGAGGGAGGGGACTCGATCAATCCATCCATGAAGACGGGAAAAGGCCACCAGAGGGCACGTTTCTCAGTGTCAAGTCTCGAGAGGAACTCCGCCGCCACTCTTTGAAAGTCGAGAACCATGGTAACAAGTCAGCAACACATCAGGGGAAGCAGCTTAGTCCAATAGGTTCGTCTAGTGATTTTTGCAGTCACGGCCAAAAAGAACATAGACACAGAAGCCGTTCGTCGAGGCTGTCAGACCAGGCCAGGAACGGGTTGGCCAGCCACGCTGTCTCGGGGCGACACGCAGCTGCAGCCTTTCAGCCAGGAGACGCAAGAAAAAAAAAGGAATCTGACACATTTCCACGGGCGTTGATGGCTGCTGGCGATAAGATTGAGTTTCCCCCTTTTTCTTGGGAGTGCGTCTGTACCTGTCGTGGCGTTCGACCATCAGCTTGGCGGCGTGTGTGTGAGTGCAACGGCACCTTCTCAATGGAACGCAACGCAGCTCTGCTGGTTCAGCTCATCAGGTCAACAGCGACGACAGCAGCAGGACATCAGACCCAGACTCGGGTTGGGGGCGCTGCTTGGCCACTGAACATCGCATTTCGATCGAGGTTTCAACCCTCGGCACCGGTTGCAGGTCGGAGGCCGGTCATCCTGTCTCGCTGTGTTGATGGATGACCGTAGCAGCAGCAGCAGCACACAGCACACAGCACACAGCACACAGCACACAGCACACAGCACACAGCACACAGCACACAGCACACAGCACACAGCACACAGCACACAGCAACAGAGAATAGGTAATAAGCCATCGCAGTAGAAGAGCGTAACACCCGTGTCCTGGCTTGCCTGACGTGGTGCTAAAGGCCCGTTGTCAGAGATCGGCTACTTTAATCCTGACACAGTGCGGCCCCTCCGACCCTGGGTCGGTGCCATCGGTAGGAGTGCAGCCAGACGGCCGACTGCTGCACCGTGTCATTACCCCAGCCAATCACAGTCTGTTCTATTTTCCCCCAACGACCCCACTTTTCCCTCGCAGCACTCTCTCACACTGCTAAAGTTCCCATTGGGATTGCTTGGCTCCCCCGATTGCCCCATTTCCCCCAGCAGCCTCAGCAGGGTACCTTGCCTTAGTATCCAGATAGGTACCTGGGGCGTGTACCTCGCAAAGTACCCTCGCACCCCCTTGTCGCAGACACTGTACCTACGGGAAAGTATGTCAGCTTCGAGTGGGCACCTCCAGGATTCGGCTTCCAGCGACCGCGCCCGGTGCAGTGTTCCCTTCCCCCCTCCCCTGTGGTGCCTTCCGTTTCCCGTTCTCGACCTGCCCATGGGCTCCCACTCCCACGTCCAGTCTTCGCTTTGCCGCTCCGGTGCAACAATCATTCCTGCACCTGTTCTGCTCTTCCGCCTGCTCCTTCTGTAATCCTGCAATTCCGACCACCCATTCCTTTTCCCTCCCTCACAACTGTCCAGCGACCTTTTCCTCTGCGATCCTGGGCCCATCGCAATCGAAAACGAGCGACGACGCCGACGACGACGACATCGACGACCGCACGAGAGCCTCTCGAGACGACTCCCAGACGACTTTACGAAAGATAGACGCCAGCGCATGTCGGACACGACGGCACAGCAAGCGTCATCTCCCCACCCCCAGGAAACCTAAAGACGACCCAAGACTTCCCTTTCTGCACTGCGCCAGCAGCACCGCCCGAGTCCAACACCAACCAATCCTCCAACCTGTGCACTGCAGCCGGGCTACACATTCTGTGCCCAGCCCATTTCGCAGCCCGCTGTCACATCTCCCATCACGCTCGTTTTCGCCCGGTCCTCCAGCTTTTACACCCCGCGACGAATTTCGATCCCTCGACCCTCAACACACGAACAGAACCGCCCGTTAGCGGCTGGTGAACCGCAACCATGTTACGACACGGAAGCGTATTGGGGCTCTTCTTGAAGCCCCTCAGCTGGATTCCCAGCGGGCCTCAGCATGCCGCCTACGCTGCTGCCCTCGGCCTCGTCGCCATTCAGGTCGGCATTGGAATTATCATGAAGGTTGCTCAGACCGGCGGCTCATATTCCTTCTCGCCATCTGCCTCCGTCACCATTTCCGAGTTCTTCAAAATGCTTCTGTCCACAATGTTCTTCTACAACGAGTGCAAAAGACGGGCTGCCGATGGCATCCGTCCCTCGACTCGTGGTGGCGGCAGCGGCTACTCCTCCCTCGCCACCTCGGAGCTGCCTACAAACGAGAGGAGTAGTTTGGATGAGAAGCGTGAGGAGGAGGGACTGAACGGAAGTGCCAGCTCTTCGAGCAATGGCTCCGTCGTCGACAAGCACATGCCATTGCCAAAGCTGGACCTGAGGACGTTTTGGAGCTATGTACGAGGCGAGGTCACGAGAGACGTCCGCTACGGTTTCTGCAACTTGGCGCTGTTCTACGTCCTCATCAACAACTCGGTATGTGAGAAAACCCGCTTGCTGTTGCTCTCTGCTAATGGTGTAGATCTTCGTCAGCTACAAAATGGCCGACCCCGGTACAATTCAACTGACCAAGAGCGGCGTCACCTTCATCACCGCACTCGTCATGATCGCGACCCTCAACACCAAGATTTCCAAGATTCAGTGGATTGCCATTGTCATGCAGGTCTGATCCCCTGTCCATTCACGGTATTGACTGGACTAACATAGACCAGATTTGCGGTTTGATGGTTACCCAGTACAACCCCACGACGGGCACCACGTATCCTTTCAGCACGTACTTCATTCTGCTTTTCCAGGTCTTCCTGAGCGCGTCTTCGGGAGTTTACAACCAGGCTTTGCTCAAGACTGATGACTCGAGCTTGCACGCCGACAACATGATTCTGTACGCTGCTGGTGCCGCCTGCAACCTGCTGTGCCATCTGGTTATCAAGACACTCAAGGCCGATGAGCCGGGTTTCTTCGAGGGCTACAACAGCTTCGGCGCCATCATGGTCATCGTCAGCAATGTGTTCATCGGCCTTGCCATTACCGCTGTCTACAAGTGTAAGTAACCTACGGGTACCCCTTTTGATCTACGTCGCTGACTTGTCCAGACGCCGATGCCGTCATCAAGTGCTTTGCGACTGCCGTGGCCACCGGTATCCTTCTGTACGTGTCGCCGATTCTTTTCGGTACCAACCTCAGCTTCCTTGTCCTCCCCGGTACCGTCGTGGTCTTCATTGCCTCCTGGCTGTACATGGACAACCCGCCCCCGAAGGATCCCAACGCCGCTCAGTCCAATGAGCCCCAGAAGCTGTCATTCTTCGGCAAGCTCGCGGCTGTTGCGCGCAAGTATAACAAGATATTCCTGATCGTTGCGAGCTTCATCACCATTGTCATTGTGGCATTCCTCACCATGTCCGAGGCTAAGATGCCCGACTTCGCCAAGGAAGGCGGATCTAAGGCGGCCCCTGCGACCGGCCCGAAGCCTGTCACTGGCAATGAGGAGAAGATTTTTTCGCCATTCAAGAACACTATGGCGATGATCAGGTGGAATTCTGCGCGTCCCGAGCGCATTCCCATGCTGCAGAAGTACGAGCCGTTCTTCCACACGGTTCATATCTCCATGCCAAACATGTTCAAGGAGGAGGACCCCGAGTTCCACAACTTGACCCACGACCAGTTCCCCGGCACATTTACCGTCTACAAACAGGTCGCTCGCACCATGAAGTTGATTCTCGACACCCAGCCCGAGATTGACGGCCTGATGTACTACCACTTCGACGCGTGGATTGACCCTCTTGGCTGGACCGGCATGAACCCCTACAACATCCACTTCCCCGCCATCATTGATACCGCCCCGCCGTCTCACGGAGGCCCTGAATACATGTGCTTGACGGAGACCAAGAACTACAACTGGTGGGGCTGGGGCCAGGACTTCCACCGTACTGCCATGGCTGCCGCTGCTGTTGTCGACAACTTCGACCTCGAGTACAAGGTCCGCCGCGATGAGTGGTGTGTTGGCTGGAGCGATATCTACTACATCCCCCGCCGCTTCTTCGCCGACTACATTTTCCTGTCCGAGGTTTTCGCCGGCTTCGGCGTCTTTCACGAGGTCGCCATTCCCACAATCATCCACATCATCGACCAGAGCCGCCGACGCAACCCCTTCCGGTCTGTCATCGACCACATCAGTGACTGCTGGGGCCACTGCTGCAGCTCCAACCCCAAGGTCCGCGACGTCTTGGGCGCCCGCTGCGGCCATCGCCTCAACTACTTGGAGGATGTTCCTACAAATGCGTTCTACGAAAAGCTCGACGCTCAGGCCAGCATCCTGGGCCAGCCCCTGAATGCGACCAAGTACGCCATGACAAGTGCTGAGAGCGCGCACATGTTTGACAGCGCCGCGCTGGCGAGCATCAACAATGGCGAGGCGAAGAAGGTCGCGCCAGCCAAGGATGATGCCCTCGAGGATGACCAGCGGGCAGACCAGTTGGCCAAGGACAAGGCCGCTCAAGAGAAGGAGAAGCTCAAGAGTGAAAAGGCACCAGTGGACAACACTGGCAAGCCTGGCGACCCCAAGGCCGACCCCAGCAAGGTCAAGCCGGCAGACAAGGAGCCCCTAAAGGAGGAGCACAAGGATAACAAGGAGCCTCCCAAAGAGGCCCCTAAGGAGGCGCCAAAGGAGGCAGAGAAGAAGGACCCCAACGACGTCCTCAGGGAAGCAGACAGGGACCCAGACGTGAAGCGCAGGTTACGACGTGAAGTCATCGCTGCGGTCGCTGGGTTCGGCTACTAAGCCCTGTATTCTTCTGTTTCTCTGTCTGCGTCCTTTTGTTTTTCGTTTTTTTGCATGCTTTGAGATATCCCACATCGGAGAGGGACCCGGACGGTCGAACACGAGCAACGACACAGAGTGGTGTGTGGTCTAGTAGATATTGGCTCTGTCGCATGGAGAGAGAAAAGGAAACGTGTGTTGAGTTATCAAACTGAACGATGTGTGTGAGAGAGTGTGCACTTTGTGTGTGTTGTCGCAGGATATGGTACGATATAGACCTTTTCTTTTTCTCTGTTCACTTTCTTAAGCACAAAGGTAGGCGTGGGCGGTCAACGGCGTCAGAGATGGTATCACAAATAGCCCCTCCACTTTAGCGGTATGGGCGAAGCAAGCAAGTAAGCAGGCAGCAGCTTTTGTCAATGCAGTTCCTTGAGGCGAGCTGGACTGGCAAAAAGTTATAAAAAGAGTGTAATAAAATTCCATTTCATTTCTTCAATTGTCTTGCCGTCTTGCTAGAGATGATAGGCCTGCTTTCAGTCAGCTTTCGGGCATATCGTATGCTCCTTGGCACATGTTGCAAATGGAATGATGGCTTGATGTTGTGTGGTGCTCAAATCCAGATCAGCATTCCTCTTACACTGGAGCTCTGAACCAGTTGTGGTGGTGTTTCCATGCTTGCCTTACCTTGCCTTACTTTACCTTGCCCCTCCCACCTTGATGCGTCCTTTCTCGCAGCTACCGTTTTGTTTTGTTTACTTCGGATGGAAAATGTGACAGTCACATGTATATGTGTGGTGGGGGGGGGGGGGGGGGGGGGGGAGGCCAGTTGGGGTTGAAACACTCCCTGGGATGATGGAGTTTGGGGATGGTTTGCAGACGTCATTGGTCTCCAACAACTACTACGACTGGTTCTGTTTACTGTGTGTATCTACGTTTGGTTGTGGTATCGTCACTGTTTTTGTGGTTTGTACACACGGTGGGTGGGTTTTGGTGGATGATGGGTTATGTTTTGAGATGTTGAGATTGTCTTGATTTGTACGTTGTGTTGATGGCATGGGATTCATCAGAATCGTGATGGCTTATACGCCTCTAACGAAAAACTATTGGCATGGCACAGAAGACCCAGATTACCAATATACACAAGACAAATGTGACGATGCGCAAAGTCATGATATTCAAAAGATGCAGCTACCCATAATTACAACTCCTCGGTCACCCACTTGTCCTGCGCGGACGCCTTCTCCTCGTACGAGCCCCACGAGCTCTTGAGCGCCGTCGCCTTGAAGTCAAACGTGATGCCATTTGAGTTGGAGCCGCCCCGCGTGATGATGATGCTGTCGAGCGGGTTCTCGGTGAAGTAGAGCATGGTGCCGGCCTCGACACCGCCGTTGACGTAGACCTCCAGGATGGAGCGGTCGATGACGCCGTGCAGGTGGAACTCGACGTTGGAGCTGGACCCCTCCTCGGAGGCGACCTCCAGCGCCTGGACGTCTGAGATGCCGAAGGAGCCCGACCGGTCCCAGGCGTTGCTGGCGCGGGCGATGTTGAGGCTTGCCACGGGAGCGGCGCTGTTGGCGCTGCCGGTGAACTGGAAGCCGAGCGAGACCTTCTCGGAGCCGTTGGACTGGGAGCCCTCGAAGGAGAGCTCCGCGGACGCGGTGGAGCCCTCTTGGAGGAGGGACTTGGCCATGCGCACGGTCAGCGTCCACTCGACGGCCGGGTTGAACTCGCGGATGACGGAGCTGGTGCCCTCGATGCCGGCGACGTCCTTCTCGTCGATGATGGGGTTCCAGCCGGCGGTAGTGCTGGCGAGCTTGGACAGGTCGCCCGCGGGGACGGAGACGAGCTTGTTGGTGGCTGCGTCGAGCCAGTGGCGGCGGACACCGCCCATGCAGTGGCGCCAGCCTTCTCCGTCTGTCGGGGTGCAGCAGCCATACGAAGTAGCATCTACGGCCCACGTGACGGAGTACGCATCACGGCCTGCGTCGTTGTCGTCCTGGAGGTGGAAGAAGGCGGTGGCGTAGTTGTCCGGGCCAAAGTCGAAGTCGTGGATCGCGAAGCTGTCTTGTCTCGCTTGGACGCCTCTCCGTGAGACGGGTCCGTCGGGCGTGTAGGTGGTGCCGTCCCAAGAACCGGTAAGGTACGACACCTCGGCGCCACCGGTCGGCGAGCCGCCGCCCAAACTCAGAGTCAAAACCCACTTGGAGCCGACAATCTTACCGCTCTTATCCTTGGTGGGAATCTGAAGAATCTGAGGGCACTCAATGAGACCAATGTTGCGCCCGGGGTTCCAGATGGACGCCTGCGTCCAGTGGACGAGGTCCGACGAGGTGTAGAAAGCCACCTGGTTCTCCATCGACAGGACCATTACCCAGGTGTTCGACTCATGGTGGAAGGACGGCTTGGGGTCGCGGAAGCCGTGGCGGTTCAGTGAGATGATGGGGTTGCCCTCATACTGAATAAAGGTCTCGCCGCCGTCGTACGACCAGGCAAGATGCTGGGACTCTTGGTCGGGCTCCCATGACGTGTAGTAAGCGACAATGTTGTCCTCGCCACTGGTCTGGTTGGAAGGGAACAGGCCGGAGATATTGTCCTTATCAACGACGACGCTGCCCGACCAGATTGAGCCGTCGCGCGCCGTGGCGGGGATGGCAACGGGGTGGTCGGCCCAGTTGTAAAAGTCGGTGGCCGTTGTGTGACCCCAATTCTTCACGCCGGAGCCAGGCACATTGTCGGCATCTGCGGACGGTTAGTAGCTGATTCTTCACGACGTCTGAAATAGGCTAGAGCCTCATCCACCAACGGTGTTGAAGACAAGAAAACGGGGGGCGGGTGCGGAGGAGGAATGCACTGTCTCATTGCGCCCGAAATGCGGGGTGACGCTGCAACGCTCATCATCGCGCATGTGATGTTTCCGTCTTTGGCAGGAAGCGCAACCCTCACGGCAAACGGGACACTAGCACGTGTGCAGAATGCAGATCCAATGAGGCGGGCGGAAACACGCCGTCGACATTGGTTGGGTAGACGCAGCTTCGTGTCTGCGACGTTTGTTCCACAACTCAAAACAGACGAAGAAGCAGCAGCAGTAAAACGGGCTTATTGAGATGTGATGTGAAGAAGACCAGGATGAAACCGAGTGAGAGGGGCGGGCGAGGGGCAGGCTTACATTGGTAGTACATGTGCCAGACGCCGTCTGAATCAACAAAGAGGCCGTTTGGGTCGTTGAGCCAGTTGGCGGGTGGTGAGAAGTGAATCTGGGGTCGCCATTTGGCGGATCGGTCGGCGGCGGCCATTCTCGCGAGGTGGGCGGAGGAGGCTGCGGCGGAGCGTCTGAGTTCCTGGGAGACGGGGGGATGTCTTGACGATGCTGGCGGAGCGTCAGGGAAGAGAGCCGGGAGAGCCAGAGCGTGTGTCGTGGGCGGTGATGAGAGCAATGTCGCCAGGAGCGATGAAAAGAAGACGTTCTGCCGCATGGCTATGGTAGGCGAGTCCGGCTCCCCGTTCCTTAATAGAGAACCAGTGTCAAACTCTCTGGGCGAAACGGTGCGGGTAGGGGGGTTGGATGTCCCTGATCGACAGACTTCGGATGGATTGAGTAGCGGAACGTGTCAGCGAAAAGGCAGAGTGACTTTAGGACGAAGCTTGTAAGAGTGAGGCGCAGCCGTATGTATCTCAGCTGGGGCGCCGGGCATTTGTGAGTTGTGAGAAGCTGAAAGGATGCTTTGTATTGTTGTGGACGTCTAGCAAGTAGAGGCAGAGAGATGTATGTAGAGGCAGATGGACAGAGAGATAGATGTCGAGTGATGGGATGGATCGTGGGCGTCGTCAAGAGAAGACGGGAGCTATTTATCAAAAGCGCCAGACTCAAGGCCGTCCACCTCGGAAGGGACCCTTTTTTCTTTTCTCTTCTTCTTCTTCTTGTCCTTTCTTTCAATCAAAACATGCAGCTGCCAGTCAGTGCCTTAGCAAGCAGAAACAGCAACGGCGGCCAAGTGTTGTAGCCGTCCCTAAGGTACCTAGTGGCATTGCCTTAGCTTGGCCGTCCCCGTCCGCCGCTGCCTCAAGTGCAGCAGTAGTCGCACTGGAGAAGCTGTTTCCTGGCACCGCGGCACGCCAAGAGCAGAATGGAGGAAAGGGTGGGCATCACACACACACCAAAGATAGGTCTCATGACTCTGCGGGCATCTGGCAGGTGGCTGGCTCTCGTGGCCCCTTCCAGTGTCTCTCTGAGGTGCTGCTTACCACCCCGCCAACCTTCTCCAACTCCTCCATGTCTCTCTACCTTACCCCAATTGCCCAAAAGCGATACCTAATCACCAGAAGAAAACCGCCAACAACGGGCAAAGAGAAGAACGCCATCCTTACAGACGGTGAACACACCCCGCAATGGCAAGGCCCGTTCTCGGTGCTGCCCCCCTTCCCCCTCCCCCTCCCCCCTCTCATCCGTCCCCCGGATCTTCATTGGTCGCATGGCCAGGATTTCCGTCGCCAGCGCTGCTTAGTGCCTGGGCGCGGCCGGGGGACTCAGCGGCCTCTGGTGCAGTGGGACACCATGATGGAACCATGTTTCTGGGGAAGACATGCGGGGTTGGAGGGCAGCACTCGGACTGGATGGAACATGACAAGAGATAAACAATGGCCATGTGAGCGACCGACTTTGTTGTTGATGAAGCCTTTGATCGTGATGTTGGCTTCGAGAGGGCCCCGAAGGTCCTAAGGAATGGGAGTGAGACACAGACAAGAACGAACAAAGAAGCCGACCCGAGGTGTTTGTCTTCTTCACTAACAGGAAGAGAGGAAAAGCGGGGTCATGTTTTAATCCCCAAGCGGTGCCCCTCACTAATTAGCAGGAAACAAAGACCCTTCAACAATGCTGCGTAACACCAGAGATGCGCTCTATTCGTACCCCCGCCTGCTCGACTGGACAGTCGTTCTCGCGGAAGCCAAGACGGTCCGGGAGGGAACATACTGGGAGGGAAATGGCGGTGTCGTCTCGGCTTCTACGCTCTCCGGGCCGAGTTGGATTGCGGTGTTTGCTTCCTCTGCAACCCTGCCAATGCCATCGAGCGGTCAGATGGTGATGCCGTCATTGACGTGCTTCGGATACGTATCGTCCAACATCCAATGCGAGTGATCCAATGCATGCTTCGATCAAATTTTCTAGATCACCTGGAAGGGTCAAAAATTAAAAACTGTAACGGCGCGCGAGATCTGAGCGAGACACGGATCGGCGCCGAGTCAAGACATGGCGGCCACGCGACTCCCGGGCCCTACCGCCCTCGTCCCTTTGAACATCACCCGAGTCATGATGCCAAGGTCACCCGTCGGCCGGCACTTGTTTGACGTTACTTCATATATGCATCGCGAGTCTTTGCTCGGGGCTCACGAGATGGCGATGATCTTTTGTCCGTCTCCTTTTTTTCTGTTCGTTGATGATGACGACGGCGGACATGCACCGCGAACCCTGGTGAGACGCAGACTTCTGTGAGGGCCACGAGACGATGACACCTCTGGAGCCGGAGGACGATGCAACGTCCGCTAGACTAGCACCGGTCGATGGCCTCATGTCGGACCAACGTCGGCATCCAACGCTGTTGCTAGAGGCACCGATGAGGTTCCCGGGGCTAAAAGACGCGGTTTCCCTCGGCCTGGCCTCTGTGCTGGCCGTCGCCGTGGACGTCGTGCATGCCAAGGTGTCTCTCTCCACGGGCTTCGTTGCCATGATGAATCCAACATCTTGCCCAACCTGACGTGTCGCTCACGTCGTCGGCTGTTTCTGGAAATTGCAAGTGTCCAACGAGATTTCTGGTCTCTGGGGACGTTCAGACGACTTCCTCCCCCGTCAGACACACCGCTGCCCCAAGAGTTTATGCAGTCCATGATCAGACAACACCAACATGCAGATGCAGGATGCACCCATCGGCCGTCCGCTGCCAGGGCAGCTCAGTCATACCGCGCGTCGTATTATGCGCGAAGACTGGATTCATGCTTCTTGCATCCCATTCGGACGAGGTCCGCCTCTCTGTTCCTGCTTCTCGTAGACAGAGAGACCCGCTCGCGGCCCGGCGTGGTGCGTGTCTTGATGCCCATCCTATCCCGCCCACTTGCGGAGGGATGCCTGGCCGGGCCGGGAATATTTAGCCTCGCGACGGGTCGGTTAAGATGCGCGCTATTGATGGGACTGCCGTCGAGGCGCCGCATTGCGTGACGGAGATCTCGGGGGGTCCACTTCGGGCTGCGGCTGGGATGGACTGGACTGGAATTTTCCATGTCAGATTTTTTGCCTGCCACATTCCCCATGCCCGCGCGCTCGGCGCGATGTTGTTATGTAAGTAAAGTGTTTGCCGGCGGGATTACGATAGTGTCGTCGCGAATGGGTGTGAAGATGAGTCCGCCTTGAATTACCTCACCCGGAAGTTGTCCAGAAGCGTCTTTTATTTCCTGAATGTCCCGACGGAAACGAGGCGAAGCACCGCGCCAAGTGCGTTTACTGGGGAAGGCGATTGCCCCGAGATATCAGATGAGCTTAATTCTGCCAGGGGACGCGGCGAGCAGCCAATGGCGCTCATTATGAACGGGGGCGAAGTACGAGTGAGGATGTCGCTGAGCGGCAGATGGCTGATGAGTGTCATGTCATCGGAACTCTTGTTTGTGGTGGATTGCGGTACTGACCAGGCGGATTGCGACCGAGACTGTGTCCGTATCTCATGTCACAGTCGATGATGGGTCTGATGTTGGTTTACGCTTCTTTGATTCCTCATTCTCTCGCCTCGGGAAGCCCCTCAGGCCGTGTTCCAGACCTTTGCGGCTCGCTGGGCCGTCCCCGTGTTACGTTGCGGCCCCCCCCATCCGCCGGCGGCTTGGTGGGTGATCACTGATGACATCCATGGTGATGGAGGGCTTCCGCGGCGGGCGAATGAAGAAGGCTCCCCCTGCCTCACTAGATGCCTCTGGCGGAGCGGAGCCTAACCTACCTTACCTACCTTACCTAGGGTGAGTGACGAGTGAGAGGCGCTGGGCAGTCATGCAGGCTGCCCCAGTTTCCAGTCTTTGGCGATGCATAATTGGCCCGTCTGCTGAAGTAGTCACCCACACCTGCAGCCATCGAGCCAATGGGCCAACCTTACCTTCTGTTAGTGCGGTAGGGTAGGTATGTGGCGGTTTTGCTAGTCGCTCTGCCCTTTCCACGTTGTTTGGAGTGTTTTTGAGGCCCCCCCCCCCCCCCCCCCCCCCCCTCGTCTTCAAATGTTGCACCGCCCCGCCAGATCCAACGCATCGAATCTGCTGCCGCGCTCTTACTTAAGTACGCCACGGCCCGGCTCCTTGTCCGCCCTCGTTACGAATACAGACTTATTCTCCGCCGCCCACTCCTGCGCAACCCGAGATCGCCAAACCCGGTCCAACCTTACCGTACCCCGCCGCCCGCTTTTGAGCCTCACGTCCCGAGAGCTTGTTTGCTTAAAGACTTACCTCGTGCCTGAACTCGGAAGGAAGATATCCTTGGCAATAGATCGTCGACAGAGGGATCCTGAACACTATTCACGGATCAACACCACCCCCCGCCGCTCACATCTTGTCGGAATGGCCCGATAGCATCACCACTCCCCAACATCGCCTGCCCGTTGCAAAACACCCATACCTCTTTGGTAGCCTCCCCGGAGTATCATCACCTATTCTGAGAACCGCATGCGGGGAATTTCCCCGCCTATTCTTTGACTCGGTCAAAGCACCCTCACCCCCAGGGCTAGCTGTTGCCTCTGGACCGTCACAACCGCCTCATCTCTGGCCTTCCTAGCGGGAAGTCGCCTCGTGTATCTCGGCTCTGATCTCACAGGATCAGACTTCTTGAACCACCCCAACCAAACAAACCCCCATCTCCCACGGTGGCGTTTTACCTGGACACCAGCATACAACCCAACCTCGTTGACTCTTGTTACTGCGTGTTACTCGGAAACGACATCTGCTACTGCGAGCACTACTACGCCAACCCGACGACGACGTTCCTCAAGCTAGAATCCGTCACGGATCCCCCCATACCCCTACTATCACCCGCATCTCCCACAGCAGCCGCGCTAGGTCTAGACCTACCGCCGCTGCCCTCATCATGGAGATCACCTACGGCACCTGGTGTCATGGAGTGTCCACTCGCCACCCCCTCCTCTTCTTCGGAGTCGAGCACGAACCTGCTGAGCCCCTTGAGCCCCGAAATCACCGAAAATGAGTGCGACAGGGCGAGCGACAGCGGCCTGACGACGGCGAGCAGCGGCAGCGGTGATAACAACTTCTGCAGCGCCGTGAGCCACGTCGCCGCCGCTGCCGCTCCCGCTGGCCTTGTCGGGGGCACCATTGATATTTCGCGAATGCGGTTTGAATGCCGCTGGAACAGTTGTGGAAAGGTTTTTCGACGGCCGAGTGATTTGACGTGAGTTCTTTTGTCATCTTACTCCAGGAATCACCTCAGTGACTAACGCGATGGACACAGCAAGCATGAGAGGTACCACATCAAGGAGTACCGCTGCGACGAGGCCGGCTGCGACAAGGCCTTTGCCACGCAAAAGGACCTCAAGCGGCACAAGAAGACGCACGAGACGCTCGACGGCGACAGCGCCGGGTACCGGTGTCGCGTCCCCGGGTGCCGAAAGGCCAAGACTGGGCATGTGTACAACCGGCGCGACAACTTTGTCAGGCACCTCCGGACGAAGCATGTGGGCATGGAGTTTGACGTCAGAGAGGAGGTTGAGATGATGTACTGAGTGGAGTTGAGTGAGGATGACTTCTCGGTCAGAGAGAGACCGATGATGCGTTGAAAGTCTCTGAAGGTGAAGGGTGTGTTTCTGTTCTCTCGAATCAAGGCTATAACAGTTCCTTGCTCTTATTGAGTCGAAATCTCATGTTTTTGGTGGGCAAATGAGCTCAATGGGTTTTCTTGGACGGCCAAACGGATTATGATAGACATGGGTTGGCAACTGTGCTCTTTTTTGTTTCTTCTTCAGATACCTGCTTATGCCTTTATGATTCTTGGACGGGCTTATGAGCTAGCTTTGGATGGTTTCACGGCCGAGGTTGTGGCAGGGAAGGTAATACCAGTATAGAAAAAGTCTTGGTTCAACTGAGACTTCATATTGATTTGAGCCGTTTCATTTCATACGCCCGAAAATTGAACCTCGAAGACACGAACGCGAGCAAACGTCATCGTCCAATCCGCCACCTTATCAACCAACCTGACTTCAATTCAAATACCAGCAAAAGCTTGTTCAACCGGCAATGTGACGGAATCGCGATTCCCATATTTCTCTCTGCCGTTAGCGTGAGACCCCGTGCTTTTCGCCGGGCTAGACAATGACGAAAGCAGGTGCTGACAGTCGCAGAGGCTGCATGTATCTTCCTCAGATGATTCGAGGAAATCGTTGCGCAAATGCTGCATACCATCACGTGGGACGGTGGTCTGCAGGAGACATGGGGTATGTGATGTTGTGGCGCAAGCCTACGAACGCTGCACATCTTGGGCGCTGGCTGCCTCGGCCTGATCTCCTTCAACTCACAACTCCGACACTGTCTTGCTAGATGTCTTCTGTTCAACAGCTTTGGTTCTCTTACCGGTCCCATGGAGGCGCTCGCAGCGATATCGTTGGCGGGGAACTTGGCCCAGTTCCTCGAGCATGCGTTGAAAGCGGTATCCAAGACACGTGAGCTGCTGAAAAACCCAGACAGTAAGCTTGACGAGAACCTCGATCTGGAGGAAATCGCCTAGGATTTCAAGTATGGATTCGCCGAGAAGGTAGGAAAGCTTCAAGTCGAAATTGATAGACGTCAACCTAAAGATGCGACTTTGAAAGAAACCGTCAAGATGATGCTCGAAAGGAAGGATAAGAGAAAATATCTCGAGAAGGAATTGAGACTTATCAAAGAGAAAGTAAAGCTTGAGGGCAGGCTTCAGGCGATCGCCAAGGACGCAGCAGACTCTTTGGGTAAGGTCGACGTGGACTTGGAAGGGAGCGAGGAGATCATTGCCAGCCTCGAGTTGCCGTTGTGTGGTTCTCGTGCTGCGGAGTACGACGTCCTACGGGGTCTAGTGTCCAGGGGTCTGGAGGTAACTGGCGAGATTTTGGGCATCTTGAATGGTCTGAAGGTTTTGGAGACACCCAACACAGGGATATACCTCAAGCTTAAGATCATATCGAAGGCGCTGTGGAAACAAAAAGAACTTCATGCCAGATTGGATGCTCATCGGGCCCAGATATCTGCTCATATTTTGGCTTTACTATTGTAAGTCACTTCGCTTGCTTCAATATAAGTATGTGGCAGTCGGGATTTCTCGTTAACGTACCCACAGAGAACAACAACGAAGCTTGTGTCAAGATTTGTGAATGACATCATCGCAGAATGAAAAGAATCATGCCGAGCTGAATGCCAAGCTCGGCATAGCCCTTCACCGAGCCCAGTATGCAGTCAATCGAGAAGTCCCCATAGAGGATGATGATGCCACATTGTCTTACCCTGAAACTCTAGAGTATCAAGGAGAAATGCAGAACTTTAGGCTAGAAGGAGTTGTTGATCATTTACATAAGATGTGGACATTGGAGAAGCAGAAAGCGATCTTGGACAGCCTATACTACAGCCAACTCGAGGATAGAGAATGGGCCATCCATGAAGCCCACGGTTATGTTCGAGTGGATTTTCGAAGCTGATTCTGCTGACAACGACGTCAAGAAGAACAGTGTCAACTTCATCGAGTGGCTCAAGCACGGGGACGGCGTATTTCGGGTAACTGGTAAAGCTGGTTCTGGGAAGTCCACGTTGATGAAGTACTTGACTCACCACCGTGAAACCAAGCGACTTGTGAAGAAATGAACAGGAAATGCCAACTTACTCCTTGCTCAGCATTACTTCTGGAGTCCCGGAACTGCCATGCAAAAGTCGCAAGAGGGTCTGCTGGGGGGGGGGGGGGGTGCTGCGGCAAGTCTTCAAACAGCGCCCAAGTCTCATGGGCGAGGTCATTCCCCATCGATGGAACTCTCCCTATGTCAACATGTTCGATCCTTGGAGGCGGTCAGAACTTGTCAAGGCGCTCGAAAACCTGGGGACAATGGACCCGGCAGAATGGAGAATTTGTTTCTTCATCGACGGCCTCGATGAATACAGCGGCGACCAATTCGAACTGGCCAACGACATTTTGCGCATGGGGAGATCGCCAAACATCAAGATATGCGCCTCGAGCCGGCCCTGGAACGAGTTCACCGATGCCTTCGAGCATTCAGAGTGGAAACTATATCCGCACGATCTCACGCGGGACGATATTCAGATGTCTGTCAAAGACAACCTTCGGGACTCCGACAATTTCAAGAGGCTCCAGCAGAGCGACGGGGTCGCGGCCGAAAAGTTGTCGCTGGAGATCACTGACCGAGCCCAAGGTGTTTTCCTCTGGGTTTTTCCTCGTTGTGCGATCCCTCCTCCATGGGCTCATGAAAGAGGATGACATCCAGGATCTCCGGAAGAGGCTGCGAGGGTTCCCCACCGATCTCAAAGAAACATTCAGTCAGATGCTGAACAACATAGATGAGTCCTACCGGAAGCGGACTGCGCGGTTGTTTCTCACTCTGACCCACGCGGCGACTTCGTTCCCGGTTCTTGCCTTCCACTTCATGGATTTTGGCGACAAAGCCCCGTCCAAAGAACCTCTATCTTTCCTGAGGTATTGGCCGGACGTCGACAAGAATGCTGAGCTGTTGCAGGCGATGGATCGCAAGAAGCGACAACTGATAGGACAGTGCAAGGACCTCATTTTCATCACGCCCGTCCCAAATGCGCCCGACCTCTTTTAACGAACGTGTTGGGTTTCTGCACAGGACTGTTGTCGACTTCATCCAGACTAGAGACATACGAGCGCAGCTTGAAGACGCCGCGGAGGACTTTGGCCCTGACAAAGTTCTCCTCGACGCCAACGTCGGCCAGCTTGGATCCTTGATACACCAGCACCGACTCTCATACATCCGCCCACGCTTAGGCCAGTGGGTTCTGGGGGCTCTGTACTATGCCCGCAAAATAGAAGTTATCACCAATACCCCTACGGTAGAGGCACTGGACGACCTTGAGAACGTCATCATGACCGCGTTTGCAAAATGGGATTTCGAGCACGCCATGACTGCGCTGCTCCCGGACGTCCCCAAGTCAACTTGCGCTGGTCCCATGTCGTCCTTCATGGATCTTGTTTGTAGATATGATATGGCGCTCTACGTTAGCCGCAAAGTTCCAGACTTGAACGTGGAAAGTTTAGAGTCCTTGTCACCGAATTGGAGGGAGCGAATTGACATCAAACCGGGCGGCGACTTTGAGTTGTGCGAACTGGCAGAAGATTACGATGACAATGAATGGAGGCTTTGGAAAATTGTACATGGAGAGGGCTCGTCACAAAGCAAGCCAACCGGGATGAATGTGTCTATGGCGGTAATTTTGAAAGTTCCTTCCCCGACGGAGAGCTCTAGGGTATCGGCTGAATCTGGGGGCGAAAGACGAGACAGCGTGAAGGGAAGACGCAAGAGATTCTCAAATGGAGAGGTTTATTTTCGAAAGGGTTGAGATAATGCCGATACTATAGAGGCAGGACAGCGCAGAACCAAGCAATATTACGACATACAAGTTGAGAGCATCATCAGTCGGCGGTGGCAACGCGCCGCCGAACGTACGCAACGTCCAGCATTGTCAAACACCGAGGGTAGCAGCAAACCATCACGGAATCGAGCCGACAGGTTGCGTCGCGAAATCAGTGTGGCATACAACACAGTCCGTCCCCAACACGGGAAAACCGGACCAACACCTCGTATGTGTCTGCCAAACCAATCGGGGTTTGACAGTTGAGGTTTCATTGAAGATGAACACGCGTTTGCAACCATCAGCAGAAACGTTGTTATGCTCCGACGAACGCCGCCCCAATCGTACAGGTTTACGTTTCCCTGGACCCAAAGGCACCGACTCTTGCTTGCAGTTGCATTCCGCGGGGCAGCACACGATTCAAAGCCGGCAACTATTCGCGAGCCATTGCGACGGTGTTGGTGGACGGATTTCGTTTCCCCAAGGTTCGGGAAATTAATCATTGCGTGATCGGCGTTTACCCCAGCCAAATGGGGGCACCACTGCACCAACCACTGCACCTCAGCGTCACTGACAGTCCGAATCAATGGACATTCAGTGACAGCGACATTCAAGAGATGCTCTGAATCACTCACAGCACACCGAACCTGATTTCCGCCTCGGTGAAGGCGCAAACTCGCCCCCCGTTTCAGGTCCAAAAGCAGAAAATCAAAGCACCCTCGCAAAGCCCCTCTCCCTCCCCACGATTTGCACCACTCCATTAAAGAACCCAAGACGGCCCATCCCGTATTCCCCTGGCAGTAGACAGATTTGGCCGCCCCCAACCAGAGGAAAAACAAAACAAAACAAACACCCAGCAGTGAAGAAAACGTGTCACCCCTAATCAGTGAATCACCAGGGTTTGACCCCCCAGTTCCCTCTTTTTACCTTTTTATCTCGCCCCTCTTCCGCTGTCAGAGTCGCATATCAAGGAGAGCCCACCTCCAACGCCCCTGTGTCCTGCGTCGTTGGGTAGCATTGACTTAATCTCGCCATGCTCCACCCAAGACCACTCGGCCTCATCAAAATCAGACGCACCACGCCCGAGCGAATGTGACTGTAAACAAAAAAACTTCCGAGGAAGAAGAAGAAAAAGAAAGGGCGGAAATTTTTAAGCATAATACCCTGGATTTCGGCAAGTGAGATGGCGAAGAAGAACACCGACAGCGCGGAGCTGGCGCGGAGGCTGGACGGGCAGGTCATGGTCATACCGGACCTGGGGAGGTTGATAGGCCACTGGCCCTGCGGGAGGAACGCGCACGCCTCGGACATCGAGGGGCAGGTCGGCGAGTTGCTGGATCGGTGAGGGTTCTTGTGGTGTTTTGAGGATCTGGCAGCGTGGAACTAATGAGATGCAGGACGGCCTCGCCTAGGGATAAGGAGAATGTCGAGGAGGCCAACCCGGCTTTGCTTGCGGCGTGGTAAGCTGTGACGTTCCGACTAATACCTTTAGCAGCGCTTGCTGACTGCGAACAGTCTGTGGCCCAATGTGTCGCTGGAGCATCTGAGGACGTTAACACAGATGATCCTTTGGCAGGGGCGGCTCGATGACTACATCGAGGCGTTGGAATACGAGAACTCGGAGCGGGCGAGGGAGTTCCGGGCCAAGACCAAAGAGTACGTCGCGCAGTATCTCCAGCTTTCGGATCTGCCGCGGGAGCCGCCTGCGACGAGTGCCATTTCGAATTTCCAGCAGGTAGCGCAGGTGATTTGCCGGTACTATGACCAGGGTGAGTGATATGTCGTCTATCTGCCCGGGGGACCGGGAGCGGGAGCTGAGGAGGCTGACGATCCAGCAGACCAGCGGAGGGCTCTGAGGGTCAGCTTGTACGAGTACATTGACTCGACGGTGTCGGAGATGCGGTACATCCAGAGCGGGGAGGTACCGACAGACCGGTACTACGAGGATCTGCGGAAGAGGACGGCGGGTGCTGGGCCACTTTGTGCCTTGGCCGAGTGAGTTGCCAGAGTTGCGTATTGAGACGGGCTTTGCTGATTGGTGCAGGTTTGTTGCGGGAGTGCAGTTGTCTGGGCTGGTCACTGGCTCGATCCCATACAAGCTCATGCTTGAGGCGGTCAGTGTCATCATTGGACTGTGAGTGAAGGCGAACCCAGGTCGAAGGTATTCAGAGACTGACAGACCCCAAGGACGAACGACTTGCTCTCATTGAGCAAGGAGCTGGTAAGTAACCGCAGCAGCCTAGTGGGCTGCTTGTTTGCTGACTGTGGTGCAGAGAAAGGGTCGAATCTTCAACGCGGTGCCGGTGCTCCTGTGGAACGGCGAACGCGGCGAGCTGGCGGAGGTCGTCGAGCACGTGGTCGGAGAAATCGAAAAGGCCGTCAAGAGCTTCGACGTGTGCGAGTCGAGGCTCATCCGCCAGTACCGGGGTGAAGCGGACCACATTCGGCTGGTGACCGAGGCTCTGAAGACCGTTTGCACTGGCAACTTGGCCTGGAGGTAAGTACAGCTCCCTTCATCTCGTTGGAAATATTGCTGAGCCCACGGATAGTCTGGAATCGAAGAGGTACAAAGTGGGCGAGCCGGGGGAGGACGGCAGTTTGGAGCAGGTGTTGAGAGCTCCCTGAGTACGACAAGCGGACGACAGGTGGACAGCAGATGGGCAGCAGATGTCGGAGAGTTGGATGGTAATGAGCCCCCGGTGATCGTAGAGAAAAAAGAAGGCCGCGAGGGCCAGAGTAGAATACCCTAATGATGAAATGATACCCAAGCCCCGATAGTCGATGCAGGTGTTCGAAAACGGCAATGAGCTGAGGCCGGTGTCGACGCGGCCGCCGGCGCGCGAGAACCTTGACAGATGCTTGGAAGTGGAAAATTGGAAGGAAAAAGAAAGGTGAGGCTTTTCGGGATGCTTGATATAATTTGACGGCCGCACGGGCGGTTGACCGTTTTTACGAAAAGGTTGCGAAATGGGCGTCGTTGGCCGTGTCTCACAAGGATGATTGTGAGCACTTTGGGCTGTACCGGTGGGCTTGCACGTCGCTGTGATGTCATGCTGCAATCTCCCAGCAGTGTCTCAATTGAGCCCTCGGTGCAGGTGCAGGTGCAGGTGAGGAGGCACTAAACCAAACCTGCCCCCCTGCTTGAGGTGCTTGTCCTTGCTGCTGAGGTGCCCTGCCCCTCCCAAGCTTTACCTTAAGCTTTCAGCTCGAGAGACAGAAGGAAAGCTCTGAGAAACATTAACTCATCCATCATCCCGCTCTTTCTCTCATCTCATCGCATCAATTGCATTTTCAACCATCACACACGTTTACATCTACACACACAATCATACACAATGGCTTTCCGCGCTGCTGCTAGAAGAGTCGCCCTCGCCCGTCCCGCGGCTGCAGCCAGGGCGTTCCACTCGACGCCCCGCGCCTTCGTCAAGGTCGGCGACGCGATCCCCGACTTGCCGGTGCTGGTCGAGAACTCGCCGGGCAACAAGGTCAACCTGGCCGAGGAGTTTTCCAAGGTCAAGAACGGGCTCATCATTGGTGTTCCCGCGGCCTTCTCGCCCGCCTGCTCGGCCACTCACGTCCCGTCGTACATTAACCACCCGAAGCTGAAGGAGGCCGGCTCCGTGTTTGTTGTGTCGGTTAACGACCCCTTCGTGTAGGTTTTTCTCGGGGTTGGGGTTTCTAATCGAGGACTGCATATTGACAGGTTTACAGGATGAAGGCGTGGGGTGAGCAGTTGGACCCTGCGAGCCAGACGGGCGTGTGTTGAGTCTTTTCGGGGATTTTGTTGAGAGATTGATTGTGTGCTGAATGTGTCGCAGATCCGGTTCTTGGGTGACCCGACCGCCGAGTTCACCAAGCAGCTTGAGCTCGACTTCGATAGCGTCGCCATCTTTGGCGACACCCGCGGCAAGAGATACACTCTTGTCGTCGAGGACGGCAAGGTCAAGGAGGCTCACGTCGAGCCCGACAACATTGGAACCAAAGGTAAGTAGACGGCTGCGTTGTTTGATCCAACCAGGGCGACTGACAGCTTGGACAGTTTCTCTGGCCGATACGGTCCTTGCTTAAGCTCGAACATTGTCTCTGGGCAGAGAGGAGGTCAGATGGAGCTCATGTTCACCAAACTGTTGGGAAAAGAAAGATTTAGGATATCGGCGTAGACTATGAGAAATGTGAGAGCGTTGACCTCTACCACCTGCCAATCAAACCTTGCCGCCACATCGAAATGCTATGCGGTCAGCCATGTTGCCCGATCAACAACCAGTTGTCGTCAAATTTATGAGGCTCTGCAAGCGGTAACAGTCTGCCGAGATATTTATCCCTGGCCTCGTCTTCAGCACGGAGCGCAGACGGAACGGGATCAGGTCATGGGACGAAAGCCGGCTGGAGGACCCGACTTCCATGGCCGGCGCCGGCCAAACCGGAGCCACATGGTGCAGGGCCGTTCCCGCCTGACAAATGCTTATCAGCCACCGCCACGCTTTTCAAGCCAGCTTCAGGGGTTTATCGATAAGAGTGACAAGACTTGATAACGGCGGGGCCGAAGACAGTGGGTGGTGGTGCGGTGCATGGCGCTCAGGGCAAGTCAGGAGGCGCCATGCAGGCTGCAGGCGGGCAGGGAGGGCACTTGGGGGCAGTTGGCAGTACCCGAGTTGAGGCCTCAAAGTTGCATCAGAGGGGCATTAACGCTGCTTGCTCATTGACAGGGAGTCACCTGCACATTGTCGGATGCAGCCACTGGACAGACTGCTTTGCTGTTTTGCAGGCTGCTTTGCAGAGACTGGCACGAGGGCTGCTGAGACGAGACTTGACTGGCCTTTAAATAGCAGTTGATGAATCGACCTCGAGTTGCAGGCCACAGGAGTGTCATTGTATGTAATGCCATCCAGAGCAGAGAGCCAAAGCCAACCAACCCCTCAGTGCCCCTCTGTGCCGCAGACGCATCACAATGCTTGGTGCAGTTGCATCATCTTTGACAATGAACCCCTGGGTGGCGCTTGCCTCTGGTTTCCCCAGATTCATCAAAGCCGGAAAGGGGAGGAAGGTGCCTTGAATTATTAGAACTTTAACAGTGCCAAATGACGCTCAGTCGGTGCATCTACCATTATTGGGAGTGAAAGTGGAAAGTGGTGACCGGTGGTCATGAAGCACACTTCCTCCAACCCCAGGCAGACACTCAGTCAGCCAGCCCACTTAAAAGCCAGGCCCCAGGAGCACCACAAGTACCCCTCACTTCACACAGGCAGCAAGATACCTGGTCTACTCTGTACCTCACTCGGTGCCTCCTCACACTCACACACTGGAGCCCACTCCTCCTCACCTTCCAACCAACACCTCCGTCATCCAACCCAGCCCACTGCCAACCAACAGCTGCCCACTCAGCACACAAAGCACACACAGCAGGAGGTGCACACCTCGCATTCAGGCACTGACTGACTGACAGAGAGAGAAAGAGGTTGTGGTGCATTGTACTGTAGGTACATTGAACACCTTAGACCAAGAGACTCAGACAGGGCACTGGGCCTAACACCGCCGTCCTGACTCCCTCCCGCCCTTCACCCACCCATCCGCCCACCGCACTGCACTGCATCTTACCTCACCCAACCTAACCCAACCCGCGTCCCATCCCACCTCACTCACACCTTACTTCTCTCTCTACCTTACCTGCCGCCATCTTCCTGCCTACATCCCAACCATCTACTCCGACGATCTATTGCCGCCATCTCCGTCCAGCGTGCCTGATCACTTCTTTGGCCTTTTGCACCCATCCCCGAACGCGCAGGCACCTATCGAGTCGCTCTTCCTCTTACTAATCCCCTCCCCAGGTGACTCCTTTGGCCCCCTCTCTCAGCCCTCCTCCTGGTCTCTGTCGTCGGTATCTACCTTGGCCTTGGTATCGCCTTTTGCCTTATTGTCCGTCGACGTCTGCCCACCACCCACGACTAGGTTACTCGAACCCTCGACCGCTCAACGCCGCCTTCGCCTCAGGTTTTACTTAAAATCAAATCCTCTCGCCGTTTCCACCTGCGGAAACCCTCCCCTCGCCAACATCCCTCGTCGGCACCATTCCTCCCACCACGCGGAAGCGAAAGGCCGCTGAGGCGACGATATCCTCCGAGTCCCCAGACCCCCTACCCAACAAGAGGATAGCCTCAGCTGCCAACCAGACCCAGCACGCTCCCCCGACACCGGTCACCACAGCAAGCAACGGCATGGATTCCGAGGAGGACTTCATGTCCGCTCTTTCGAGCGAGGACGAGATGATGCAAGACGACAGCGGCGAGGACATGTCGGGCGCCGATGGTGCGTCCTCATTTTTTTTTATCCCCGATGCTAACCCGCAATATTCTGACGCTCCTTCTCCGACAGACTTCGACGAGGACGACTTCGATGACGAGCCCGACGCCGACCTCGGCATTATCAAGGACTCCGACAGTAAGAAGAAGGTCGCTTACGACATTTCCTTCAAGGTCTACAAGCCCGAGGACATTCAGAGCCAACAGGACGACATGATCGACGAGGTCAACATGATTCTCAATATTCGCAAGGAGGACGTCGCCATCCTGCTGCGCCACTTCCGCTGGAACAAGGAACGCTTGATCGAGGACTACATGGATACTCCGAATAAGGTGCTGGAGGCCGCAGGCCTGGGATCGAACGTCACCGGCCCGCCCAAGCTAGAGGCCATCCCGGGCTTTATGTGCGACATTTGCTGCGAGGACGAGGAGGGTCTCCAGACCTTTTCTCTCAAGTGCGGCCACCGATACTGCGTCGATTGCTACCGTCACTACCTCAACCAAAAGATCCGCGAAGAGGGCGAGGCTGCCCGCATCCAGTGCCCTGCCGAGGGCTGTGGCCGCATCATCGACTCCAAGTCGCTCGATCTTCTCGTCACCCCCGAACTCGGTTCACGATACCATGAGCTGCTCAACCGCACATATGTCGAGGACAAGGACTCCCTCAAGTGGTGCCCCGCTCCCGACTGCCCGAATGCCGTCGAGTGCCCTATCAAGAAGAAGGATTTGGACAGAATCGTCCCCACGGTCGCCTGCGCATGTGGTCATCGCTTCTGCTTCGGTTGCATCCTCAACGACCATCAACCAGCCCCCTGCGAGCTCGTCAAGAGATGGCTCAAGAAGTGCGCCGACGACTCCGAGACAGCTAACTGGATATCAGCGAACACAAAAGAGTGTCCGAAGTGTAACTCCACTATTGAGAAAAACGGTGGCTGCAACCACATGACCTGTCGCAAGTGCAAGCACGAGTTCTGTTGGATGTGTATGGGCCTGTGGTCGGAGCATGGCACCAGCTGGTACAACTGCAATCGCTTCGAGGAGAAGAGCGGCACCGAAGCCCGCGATGCGCAAGCAAAGTCCCGCATATCGCTGGAGAGATACCTGCACTACTACAACCGCTACGCCAACCACGAACAGTCCGCCAAGCTCGACAAGGACATTTACCATAAGACAGAGAAGAAGATGGTGCAGCTCCAGACCGCGTCAGGCATGTCGTGGATCGAGGTTCAGTATCTCAACCAGGCCTCGCAGACACTGCAAACCTGTCGACAGACCCTCAAGTGGACGTACGCCTTTGCCTTCTACCTTGCCCGCAACAATTTGACGTCCATCTTCGAGGACAATCAGAAGGATTTGGAGATGGCGGTTGAGGCACTGTCAGAAATGTTCGAGAAGCCCGTCACAGAGCTGTGTGACAAGAAGCTGAAGGTCGACATCATGGACAAGACGTCGTACTGCAAGAAGCGACGCATCATTCTTCTGGAGGATACCGCCGATAATTTGGCCAACGGTAAGCTTGGCATAAACAAACATCTTTATCATTTCTAACCCTCCCTTAGGTCGCTGGACTTTCAACGTTGATCTTACCGGTCCTATGCCATCCGCTGCCACGGGCAGCCGCCGTTGAATCACGCGGTGACTCACACGAATACATGAGAAACGGCTTGAGTGTGTAGAAAGAACGCTTAGCGCTTTATTATTGGTGGAAGGCTCATCAATCTTCTCGGTAACGGCATTGGAGGCTACAAGATCATGACAGGTTTTTTTTTTTCTCTCTCTCTTCTTTCTCAAGGGACGGATAACTTGGCGTGAGGAGAAGCGGATCACGGGCATTGTATGGAATGGAATTTTGGTAGCAATCCGTGTGTCCCAGGCACAGCGGCAATCATTACGCAGCACATCACTGTCATCGTCATCTCTGCTGCTGCCGTCCCCTACATCGTTCTTGACTCTGAACTTACGAGAACCTAGGCGATGGGTGTCATTCAAAACCCACCGTTTTAGGCCAAGTCGCGGCTTGAGTTCGTGCGTCCACCATGCATGCCATCTTTCCCACCCGTGACCTTTCTTCTTGTAGCTGCTTCGAATCATTGCCACGCAAATCTCTGGATTACAAAGTTTTCGCCTTCTCGTCGGTCTACTCGTCGTCCATGGGCATCATGACTCGCGGTGGGTGTGTGGTCTACTTAGCGGCACCACTGAACGCCGCAATTATGACAATGGTCCGAGGTCGCAGACAGGCCTTGCCTGCCACGTCGGTGTAGGTGTGCCCAGGTGGCCGGGCCTCCCTCCTGACGCAGCGTCACGCAGGGAATGGGGGAGGGGGCGAAATGCAGGAATCGAACTCAACGGAACCCCGTCCGGCGGGTTCCGTCCGGGCGTCAGCCTCATCAGTCTCGTCAATGTAACAGCAAACCGCATTCACGTCACATCACGGCTGATCATTTCATTATCGACGGTCGCGAACGAGACTTTTCTTGACACCTTGCCAATGGGTTTCCGTCCATGATATATTTCCTACCCGCCGTTAAAGACTCCTACTACGCCTCAAGAAATGCATACAAAAAAAGCCGTTCTCCGTCCAGGCTCATAATCCTTCGCCACCAATGATAAACCTTTTTCCAGGCGTGCGGGGGGAAAATGCTGCTTCTCATTCCATACAGCGTTGAAAGTCCAAATGCTCTCTCCTTTATGCTTCCATTAACCTCTAAGAAATGCATCCCATCCTTGGGGGGATATCATGATGGTTGTGCACTGATAGCACAGCCAGAC